TGAACAACACTCTGGGGATCCGCGGGCGGACCCGACTTCTACAAACAGGTTTGCCTTCGCGCACAACTTTATTTTCTTAGCGAGGTCGATGAGAGAGTAGATTGAATTTTCTACTAAAACAGGAGTAAACGCGCAATGATTTTCTTATCGAGTGTTAGCACTATATGATAAGCATATATGACATTTATCGTTAATTCAACAGATTTTATTGCGTTACGTGATTTGAAATCTTATTGAAAATAATATCTTATTTTTCCCCTACTAAAATTTATAATAATAAATATTAATAAAATTATAATAATATAAAATTTATGTTGATCATTCAAAATGTTGTAATTATGTTGATCATTTAAAATGAGGAAATTAGAGCTACTATAAATTGGCACTATAATTAGTGGATTATGTATTAATACAAAAACTTACATTTAGCTGACGTGTTAAAAAACTCATATTCGACATTTAGTCAAATAATAAAAACCAATTTCGTCATATGACAAAACACGTACGTTTCGACTATTTCCTAGCCTTCATCAACGCAAAAAAAGTAAAAATAAATCATCGTGGTCAATTAATTCGATATGTTATTCGTGTATTTTTTTAAATTACCTATATTGAAAAGTTATTTAATGAATGTTAAATTAAAGAAAAGGAAGAGAATGGTGGACAGCGCTGACAAGTTGATCATTAAGTCCAGCTTAAATGGTTATCACGAGGCAACGAGACTGTACGAACGTGACCTACTTGATCCTACTGTCTATAATGTGTCGTAACGGTAGTGATCGCGCTTGTCGATAGCTCGACCACGATCGATTAATATAAATATACGCATCCCAGCGCAGTTAGATACCAATGAATGGTAGTCGCCGCGCCGCGCCGAACCGCATTACAAAAGCGCACATACCCCATGTCATGGTGAAACTAGAGTTATGGTCGACATTGTCCTAGTTTCTAACACCAGAAGACATTATGAGATTCCCTTCTCCGAGGCAATAATGCGCTACCCACATACGACGAGCCTTGCTTGAATGATTTCTATAAAATAATTGAGAGAGAAAGAGAGAGAGAGAGAGATATCTCGTGATTTAATCTCAAAGTGTTGCTAGTAACTCTGTTTAATTCTAGATTTTAATCATCTAATGATAGCGATTTACTCGAACAAAATCGCGCAAAACAAATAAATAGAATAAGTAATTCAAAACAGGCAAAAGTAAAATTAAATGGCGAATACAAGTTCGTATCTCGATAGTTACGCGGTGGTGTATTAAAATACATATACTTTGCTATTAATTCATGGCATTAATTCGTTCTAGTTTAACGTGTGAAGCTTTCAACGGTTTTCGCATCCTCGCGCATGACACAGCGGTGTTTATAACGCTAGAAAACAATGATGGCGCGCCCGTGTCGCTTTGAAGTTCGTAATGGGCTAGAGTGGATTTGCAATAAATTAGTGTGTATGCGTGTCGGCGAGATATACGACGTATCACCGCCAGTAGCGGTGGTCAGGTGTTGGATATTAATTTTCAATCCCTGATCGGAACGTAAAATTATTAATCGACAAACGTTAAAGGTGCATTGCGGTATTATTGTAAAATTGAAGATAATCTATTTGGCGGAGTTGAAGAATGAACAATCGTTGAGTGGTATAAGCGGTTACCGAGAAGAGGTTGTCGAGAAAAATCGCAACATTTGCGTCCCGTCGGCGAAATTAAAACTCGCACGCATTACATGCACAAAGAGCTTATAAATATTCTGTAACGATACCCCGGCTCTGGATTGATTCCCCAATTAAATGTAAATGAGCGACGGGGGTAAACTAGTGGAACGAGTTTTATAATATCCCGGCAGCCTAGAGGGGTGGGAGGAGCTCGTGAAATCCTACCTAAGTAGATAGCACGAGCGCGGCCAATAAATTAATTATTCACCCAATAACCAAGCTGCAGTAGCTCGTGTCCCTCTCTCTCTCTCTCTCTCTCTCTCTCAAGATTGCCAGCCTTCCTCTCGCTATGTTATTTATGATTCTATCTGGTATTCATTTTCACTCATTTGTCCCTTTGAAACTTCCTCATCATCGAAGGGAGCTTCAATATTTACTGTTTAATATATCCGTCTTTTAAATTTCAGAAAAAAAACAAGATATATAATACCATAATTTACTGAGCGATTATTATTACCTCGTTCTCGTTCTATTTCTATCGTAATTGTGTATCTTCTTTTACTCAACGATTCCTTCAAATAGATAATTTATTTTTATTTAAATATAAAAAAGAAAAAAGCATTATTTACGGTACATTTCACAGAGATTATTCGATCAGAAATCTACAATGTCTGTTTGTAAAGACGTGTAACTTGTTGTAGCAAGAGAAGTCACCGAGACGATGGCGACTCTTCTTTGAACAAGCATTCCCGACCACAATGATCGCAAACATTCCCGTTTCCGTTTTCAGGGTGGTTAGTTCTGGGCATTCTTCGGCGTTCACGGTCTACCCTGATATTTATTCTGGCTCATTTGTCCCGCAAGAACCGCCGCGTCATCGAAGGGAAACCCAAAGAGAGATCCTTCTTTGGATTTATACGCACACTGTAGTCCCCTTGGAGCTCTACGGGGGTCTCAGGTGCTAACTATAAACGAGACTAGTGGGGTTTGACTTTAATGTGATTTCTCAGAATCTGTGCACGTATTCATTTAGATTATTGACCGATAAATAAAGTTTGAAAAAAGAAAAAAGAAAATTTTAGGAACAATCGAGGCGTGGCTCAAAACACTGCTATTTTTTAAATTTTTTAGGAGAAAAGAAAAACTTATTTTCTTATACGTATAAAAATTATATTACTTCAAAAATTGAACAAAAAATTATATTATTATATAATAACTAAAGATTAAACGTTTGCAAAAATTTTCAATTAGGTAATTCCAATTTTGAAAACAAAAATCGTGTTGAAGCTGTTAAAATTTCGTAAAGTTGCAAGTCCAAGTACAAATGTGAGTCAAAACGATGTAAGTCCAAGCATAAATATCAATTGCATAATGGATTTATAACGTTTTAAATTGCACTATCCATTTTTCTCTGCTTGTAGCAGCATCTTTCACGTCAAATATTAGTACGTGATAGAACAGCGTATATTTGACGAGAAAATATAAAACAATATATTCACAATTTTGGTATTTACGTCGTTTTGCCGTGGTAAAAAAAACCTCAATTATTATCGTATTGTTTCGATTATTTAACTTGATTACAAAATAAATATTTCGATTAGCAATTATTTGAATTAAAAACACTATAATGTTTTGTTTGTTAAAAAAGTTTAAAACTAAAACATCTTTAAATGTTTTAAAAAATGGAGACAAGAATAAAACATTTTAATATTTTAAAATTAAATAAATGCTTCTTTTTTTAGTCAGGATAAAATAGTGAAGGCGATACTATTTGCTCTCCTCCCCCTCTCCGGTACGACAGACACAATAATTATTCCAGTTAAATGGACATTCGTCGCCGAAATAAAAAATTGCAAAAGGAACGCAAAATTTGCATAATGTTATCATCGCCGTTGTTGAACGGATGCAACTCTTAAAATTGTGCGATTACGTTAAATGTTCAATAATTCCGATGCAACGCGACGCGACGCTACACGAGACGAATGCGTCACTCGGCAAACATATAAATTTCATCGCGTGGGCAATATCGTTGTGTTGCTACAATTGGTGCATAATAAGAGAAAGGATGTGCTCAGGCAACCTTAACTTGGTGACGACGACCTCGTTTGTAATCGAGAAATTGTTTCAGTCATTTTCGAATTCGAGTAAAAACATAAGAAATTAATATTGTATTTGAATTCGCTTTTACTCTATTCTAATACATCTTACACGCAGACTGTCTATAGCTCGAAAAAAAAAAAAAAATAATAATAATATTCTAAAATAATATTTTTTCTTTGCAAAGGATAAATCTATCGATTAATCTTCTATGCCCTTTTCTGTCAAAACCGACATATTTGTGGTAAATGGATAATTTAAATAGAATGATTTTGCATTGCGAACTCGATCTCAATCTGCGAATTCGCTTGCAGCTTTTCCCACGTTGAATGAACAGGCAGAAAAACAATTAGTAGGGTTCTTGAGACAAGGGAGAGTAGGTAGCGTAATGGAGAGATCGTATCACATGGCCATCTTGGTACTAACGGTCTATATGGTATTATCCGTCTGCAAAAGGACAAGCCTCTCAGTTTGTGCCACGACAAGTAAAAGAACTGAAGATTTGAAGAATGCAAAAACTGCTCGAATACAAATGCTAACGCCTGAACCTGTATAATGGCACTACCTAATAAATCTTGCGAGTGTCAGATAAACTTTCTTGCTCGACGCCAATGTTCCGAACGGATTCAAATTCTTCATAAAACTCGCGCAAAAATTTTATCTTGATGTTGTGTGACATTTTTTGCAGCGGAGTTTTTATCTCAAAATACGTCAAGAATTTTGAAATAAAAGCTCCAGAAAAGGTTTTTTTTTTCTTCTATCACAAAGCAACCGAATCAATCCACATTTCACATTTTCATTGAGCGCAACTAAAAAGGAGCGCAAAAAATGCTAAACATTTATGATCGTAAGAAATGTTGGACATTCATTCTGATCTAAAGATTCTCAAAGATTCAGGCTATCTCATCAACAATGTCCCGTTTTGCGCCGAACGACACGGCGTAAAATCGTCGATCGGATGCGATCTGGTGCGATCGGATGCGATGCGACGCGTGACACCGCGTTTTCTCTTTTTCCAGCTCCACGGTTTAGGTCGAGCTACCTGATATGGAGAAGAAAAGCAGCGAACTCTCTTCCCACGAGTGCTAGACGACGGTACTTGATTGGCAAACAATTAGCGGCCACGACGTCGAAAAGGAGGGGACGATGAGGATGATGATGGGGACGAGGGACGACAACGACGAACAGAACCAAACGCGGAATAGGTATGTATCACGCGAGCATCTTTGACCGGCGTCACGCATCCTCCTTACAACCCTCTCTTATCTCTCTCTTTCTTTTTCTCCACCTCCTTGGCAAGTCGTTCGCTCGCCAATATCTTTACAATGAGAACAATACCGTAGTTCTTCCGCCGGAGCGAACAGACAAAGGGCATTCCTGAGACAAAACCATTGTCACCATCGTCACCATCGTCGTCGTCAAACTCCAGAGAATTCTACGAGCATGTTAAAATGTTCTGTATAAAACAGAACAGGAATTATAAGTGTTTCCTTTATCTGCACTTTGCATTATTTTCGCACTAATATTTTTCACTAAAACTGACCCGCGAAGATGTATAATATATATATATCTTATACCTGCATACATCATGATATTAAAAAATCATCATGACAAAACAGGATAGAACAAAATGTATAAAATTTTTTAAGCAAGCTTATTAAAATTACAAATAAGATAATAAATATCGTAAATTGCTCATAAAAAATAATAGATTGAAATTATATGAATAAATGAGGAAAGAGTTATAATAATGGTAACAAAAAGGAGAATTATTCACAAAGGTATCACATAACCAATTATCAATGAATAATCTTGTTAAAATAGCAAAACGTAATATTTTTTTGTAAAATAAAGCAGGACTTGATAATAAACCTTTTGACTTAATAGTACAATTTTATTTGATTACTCATGATTTATAAATAATAATGTAAAATTAGATTGCAATTAGAAAATCACTTTTCTAGCTTTTGGTAATTTCAACAAAATATTAATGAAAATATCTACTATTGAGTAAAATGAGGAGTGTTTCATGGGGTTCTCAGATGGGGTTTTCATGGCGTGTCTTTTCTCCTAAGGGAAATTCACAAAGCGAGGATAGTCAGATGAATTTCATGCACTTTTTATCACATCATAATCAATTATATGACAAGAATCATTTTTTTAGCGCAGTTAGTAATTAACTGATCTAATACTCTTACTCTTGTCAAGCTAGAAAAATTCAAAAACGTCAAACATAATTTTAGAAAGTGAGAAATATACTATTCTTATGTGTAATTGTTTTATTGTGGTAATAAAATTTAATTATAAAAATCTCTGAATACAAAACAGTTTTGTACTATTAAATCATCAGTTTGTTTAAATTCAATAAATATATTGATATTGGCGTAGTAACCTAACCAACCACGTTTAGTCACATAACAAATTTTTGCGTCAGTAACAAAACTTTAATTATTCATAGCAAACATTTCATATCAAACATCTCAGTGTAATTCTTATCGATTGCTGTTTAATGATAAATATTTTAATGAATGGAATAGAAAAACAGCAAATAACACAGCTTCGTTATGTTGCTTTATACGTTATATTATTACTTTGAAATAAACGCGCCACGTTCGCTTCGAGAGCTATACGTTTTAATGTAAGGTTTTGAATTTCATGTGTGCCTATATAAGCATATCCATCGAGATCTCCAACCATTCCAAAGCCTCTCGTCCTCCGCGACTGCTCTTCTTCTTCTGTCGCTTTCCTTTTTTCCCCCGGTCTCACTATTTTCCTGCCCTTTTTCGTTTCCTAAAACTACGCTCCGTTACGTCCATTATTTTCGAGAACTTCGAATCGCATTCTTTTTAATTGGTGGGACGCGTTTCGTTGCGCATGAACGTACACAGACTCGTGTATTTTTTGTTTCTTCTCTGTATGTTCCTCTTCGACAGTTGAACAGCTTTTTCTACAGCATTTTTCGACATTTCGTGTAAATTCGAGCAACATCATTCCTTTGTCACAGCAATAACCACCGTCGGCAGGGTGTAACATGATTCTAGTATCCAAGCCAATGTCGTCTCGAATCGAATATACGCTCTTTGAAAAAAAAAGTTACGCGCGAGTCCGTACTCGCGCATAACTTTTTTGTCCAACAGTATATAAGAGATAGAAAAGCATTCAGCGATGTTGCATTGTACGAAAAGCTCGCGAACGATCGTCGATTGAATTCTATCCCGTCAGCGGCGAACTGATCGTCCATTAAATACGATCAATTAGGTATCCCCTGGCCCTTATCGAAGCTCTCTGGACGAGGCGACTGTTCGTGAGTTATCCAATTTCTATTTCTCGCGCGATCTCTTATCGCGAAAGTCTTGCTTTCGAGAAACGATTATTTGATGCATATTCTCTAACACGAAAGAAGTTGTCCTGCCTCTTAAAACTCTTTATATTCTACAAAGTGCGGCAACGAGGCGCACGCGGCTTGTTTAGCAAATCGTTTTCACGCAATCGATGAGAATCGCGCAAGAAACGTGGGACATGATCGTCTTTAGAAGTACTTAACAGTCCCACGAAACGGTCGATTCCATGGTAGAGACACCTCCTCACGACGAAGCGCGCGCACGTGGTGGAGATAGAGAGCGCGTGTGTGTCCCGGCACATTCCGGTGAAATGCGCTTAAACCGCCGCGACGAATCGTTAACGGGCTTCTAATCGTCGCGCATTACTGAGGTGGCACCCCCATGTAACGAACGATCGAACGAACTCGGAATAATTATTACGCTTCTCTCACCGAGGAGGTCAAATGAGATTGGCAATATTCGTTGGCGAGCGCTCCTACACGTGTCTCGACATGCATAACGTATGGTATTTTAAACGTATGCTATTGTAATATTGATTATGAATAATCAAAGGATCATTACTAACGTAAAAACTATTTATCGATATGTGACTGATTAAAAATCGTTGTTGGTTATTATGACGATATTAATTTATTAAATAAACTGATGATTTAATGATACGAAACTGTTTTTTTTTTATGAGGTTGAAAGATCTTTTGTTCAAGTTCAAAATAGAAAACTTTCTTATCAAAATGAAACAAAAAATTACATAAGAATAGTATATATATCTGTCATTATTTATTAAGTAAAATTATGTTTGACGTTTTTTAACTTTCCCAGCTTGATAACAGTATAGAGATTCAGATTTATTGAATACTGATTGCTCTGAAAAAATATAGTCATAATTGACTATGATGTAGTGGTGAGGAGTGTACGAATTAGCTGGTCGTCTCTGATCATCCTTGCTTTGTATCAGGTAGTGATTTATCTTATGAGAAAAAACACGCCATCTCTAACAGCTCCGCGAAATATTTCTTATTTTACCATAATAAATTATTTTGTTGAAATTACAAAAAAGAAAATTGATTTTGTAATTGCAACCCAATTTTATATTATTATTTACAAAAAAAAAGTGAGTAATCAAATAAAATTGTACTTAATTTTAGTTAAATCAAAAAAGTTTGCTAAATTTTGCTTGTATAACAAAAAATATTACATTATGCTATTTTTAACAAAATTGTTTACTTATTGGACTTGTGATTAATTCTCTCTCTCTTTTTTTTAATGCCATTACTATAATTTTTTTCTTAATATATGAGATGTCGAATTTGTAATTATACCTCAACAGTAGTAGTTTTAAATTAATGAATTATTTATTACCTTAAAACGCCTTTAATTAATGTACTACAATTGGTGTGAGCTATTATAAATTGCACGACTTTCAGAACGAGTAAATAGACAAATAATTGCAAGCCCCATGCAATATGTTAGATCTAGTTAGCGCAACTAACGATTCGGAAGTGCTGTTTGCCGTGAGATTTCGAGCGAGACTCGCTTCGCGCCCCATACCCGTGTCGGAGCGGAGGTAAGCGTACGAGAGAGAGTTCGCCGAGACACGCTCGTTGTCGGAAATAACGACATAATGACATGGTAGAGGATGAGTGCCCCAGGTAGGTAAATCCAAGACGCAGGCACGGCACAACTGGAGAGAAAGAGAAAGGAAGATCGGGAGGGAGAGGGAAGGAGAGAAAACCAGACCGGGATATATCCAGCGAGCAAGAGGAGAAGGAGGAACGAGGAGGAGGAGGTGGGATCATCGGCGTGTCTCGGTAGTATCCCTGACCATCGCCGGTGGTTCATCAACTCCGAGGAGTTGAAGAGACCTTAATAGGCTCTCCCGCTAGAGTCTGGACCATGTCATGCACCCTTTTACCTCGCGTCTCGACCTGATTTCGCACGTGATTCTCGCTGCTGAACTGTCAGTTGCGGTTCGACCGGATTTATTAATCAGCGTACGCCCCGAATTTGCATAATGAAATAAAAGATGCTCTCGCGTACGCACATATTCAGATAAAGACTCGAATCGGTATAATTCTTTCTGATGAATTCGGACGTCGAGGCCCGTCGTAGATATACCGTGTAGATAATATTCTTTTTGTGCTATTATATACGACCAGATATTAATTTTGCTAGAGTATTAAAAAATTTCAGATAGATACAAAAAAATAAAAAAAAAATTATACTTTTATAATAGATATTTCAGCAAAACCGTGTCCTTTCCGTGTAGAATTCTATTGTACATAATCAAAGATAGAAATTAGACTTAACTTAAACTCGACATCGATATAATTTTTATTAAAACTGCGATATTTGCAATTGTAAAATCATATAATACCAACGCGCGCGCGCGCGCTTCCCTTCCACGAAATGTGTAATTGCGTCTTCACTCTCATTCTCTGCAAACGTGCCGATTGCGATATTCTGTCATTTCTCTAATTATTGACCTTTGATAGACGCGTGGACCACGCGCAATCGCAATAACTTTAATAGCGCTTTATCGCGTTAACGACCGGTATAAATCGCCAGCGGATATATATTGATACAACGCGAAATTCCATGGTAAATGAAACAACGGCGAAATTGAGTGGTCAACGCGCCGACGCACATTACCGCGATAATTCCCAATAATTTATCATCGCCGCGTTGCGTCGCACACCCCTCCTCCTCGCCGTATGTAATCGCCGGAGTCGCCGTTGCATCCGCCGCCGCCGCCGCCGCCGCTGCATTTCGAGCGTCATGAAGGATTGAACGACGTCGCGCGCGGTTTGCGTCGCGGTGTTTATCGGCCGTAAAGAATCGACGGGACTGCTCTTCTCCTCTTAATGGGTTCACGCGCCGTGGAATCGCGCACAAAGCGCAACGCGGCCCGCGAGAGATCGCAACGGCGATCGCACGCGTCATGCTCTCTTTAACATTGAATCGGCCCAATTTTGCCCACTATTTAGCGACGCCATGCTTCGCCGCAGCCGAATTAGCCGAATCCGCAGAAGCACGCTCGCATGAATCGATAACCGCGTTTCGCGGCTCAATCCTTCCGCATATCGTATTTCTTTCATATATATATAAGTATAGTATAACATCACGAAAAGAATATGGTTTTGTTGAAATATTTCAAAATTTAGCTAATCTAAAAATAATAATTTTATTAGACTCTCTATCGAAATAATTATGCAAGACATTCAAGCTGGTTGCTAGAATGTGAAAATTTTAGCAGCATTACTCGCTTCATGCTGCTTAAGTTTTCTACACGTAATTATTTTGAAGATCCAACAAAATTATTTTCAAACTATATATATATAATACTTACTTATCTATCTCATTTTTTAGATAGGTACTTCAGCAAAATTATTTTGTTTCCCTCTCTGTATATAAAAGATTCTTCATTTTTATCCTACATTTTTATGATCTTTCCGCCTAATTATTCTATACATTTTCGATGACTTCAGAAAACGACGCGATCCTCTGATACTCTCAAAGTAAATTATAAAGTCGCGTAAGAGTGAGTGAGTGAGAAAGAAAGAAAAAGAGAAAGAAAATATACACGTGTATGCGAGCGGAGCTGTAAATATAAATCGTGAATCCAATTTGCGGACACCATAAATCAATAGCGTGATCACGATCTGGCTAGGAAGGCATGAAACGGTCTGACAGAGTCAGATCAGGATCCAGGTCCGGACAAAAGACGCGGTTGCGGACGCGTCGCTGTCGAGAACAAGAGTAACGGCGCGATGGTCAATTAATGTCCGAGGCATGCCAAATTTTAAATGAGAATAAACCTATACTAGGAAAAGAGTTGTTCATTTAACTCAATTAATTTAATTCGTCTTGATTTCTTTCGATGAAGAGAATATATGTATTTTTTTTTTAAATTAAACATTACATCTAACTTAAATACAGACATTCTTCTTCAATGAAGAAGACGAACAAAATAAAAACGCTTAACTTAGTCAAATAAATAATTAATTTACTTAAAAATGAACCACTTTTTCTAAGTAAAAAAAAAATATAACCGAATTATACTCACCATAGAAACGGGGATAGGTCCTCCGGCTCCGTTGGGATACGGATACGGCGAGACGAGGTAGCCCATGTTGAACGAGGAGGTGTGCGGTGTCGGATCCACCTTTCCTATTTTGGAAACAAACGAAGGTATGATTATTATCGGTATATAATCGTGGATCTCTCTACTAATAACAGTAATAACTATGTTGAGAATTGATTAACATTTAATGTATTTTTTACTTTCAGTTTTTAATAAAACAATCTCAATAAAGTATCACAAAATAATAACTAATTATTATAAAATTGTTATAATTATTATAAAATAATCACTTTTATTGCATTTTTCGTTGAGAAATTAAAATAATCGAACTCTGAAAAATGTATGACCGTAATGTTGCTTATTTACATCAATTAAATAGTATCGCGCGGATCATAGATCGTTACAAGATTAGTCAGACGTTAAACAGACCGCAGACGAAGAAATATTTCTTTAAATGGCAGCCTGCACGCGAACCAAATTGTAGAAAGTAAAAAGGAGTTCCGAAAGAAAGACCGACAGCCGACAGTTGTACGACAATTTGGGGTTCGTGCAACACTGGCCTTAATTATATGTTCTCTATACAAATCACTTTTGTTTTTCTTTTGCGTGATAGTTTGCCGAAAAGTACAAGATTACGTGGTATTTATTCTATCTAGTTTTTTTTTCATTTCGACCTCCCAATTCGCACCTGCTTGATTTTCTTACACACATAACATATTTTTCGCAACTTTATTTAAAAACGTTCGAAATGTAATCAAACATATATTTTTCGACGCGATGTAAAATATACTAAAGTGCAATCGTTTATTGCGTTTCAGCTTATCCATTATAAGTTTCGTTTAAAGTCGCTGGAGGTGTCGCAATCGGCAATTTCATGTAATGTCGCATTTTAATCGAATTAATAACATCCGCCTGATCCGCATAGCAGATATTATTTTTTCTTCATCCTAAACGTCCGTATATAAATATTACATCTGCATTAAAACCAGTCTTCGCTTAATAGGATTCAACGTCGTTCGCGTAGAGAAGACCGATCTTGGCGAGCATGCGAAAACCTGCTCCAAAAGATTCAGAGGCGATACCAATCGTCTATCGCTACGGCTAATCCTTAAGACGAGAGACGCTGCGGTCGAAGAACCCCCTTTTGGGCTTATCCTTCCGCGAAACTGGATCGCCGTCCGAAACGAGAAGAGAAATACACACTAAGAATTCATTTCACGATCATCCTGATCATCCTGAGGCTGAGGCTGCGTGCTTCCGTCCAAGATCATCTCCGTAATCAAAACGGATTCCATCCTTGCGAAATCGGCCGAATTCTTTTGTTCATTTCGTGAAACTCAATCGTTTCAATCGAGCTGAAGCAAGTACCAATAGCGATAGTCTGCCGACTTAGCCAGCAAATACAAGTATAAGGAAAGACTTTTGCGTATAGGACCTACTTTCTTTAAAAGTGAATTAGTGTATTATCACTGACTTCAATTCTACACTCATAACTGATGTAATCATCAGCGAATACTGTTTTTTTTTTTCACATTGATTCACTTTTAGAGGTTATGATTTCTACAGATTCAATCTTTTGCGCGATGCTTGATACTACAAACATTCAGGGAAATTAATTGATATTTTATTCTACTTCCATAATTAGTAAAAATGAGTACCGTTGCATGTTGAGAAGAAACAACATTCTCATAATGAAAGTATAATTTAAATATATTTATTTAAAAATAGTACATAATGATATGAAAGTCAGTGCGGTACTTATGCACAAAAATTCAGAAGACATTTCAATTATTGTATGAAATTCGGAAATGCAATATACCTATGTATATATTTGTACGCATTTCAACTCATGCTTTCGAGTTATTTTTATATCTGTTCCCCATTGAGAAGACGTTCCTATTTCGAAGTGTTTGTAAAACAAATTATACACATATAAGTGGCTTAAGAAATAAAAAAGTTCTAGGTTTTTATAAAATAAAAGTTTTATACTGAAGATGGCCAAATTATGGCCGAAACGTTTATATCTATATAGTTTTCAAAACATTTTTGTGTACCGCGCTGACTCCTATATCTCATATTACGTACTTTTCTCAAATTTGTTAAAACCGGGGAATAATCTTATTATATGACTTTTTTATATAAAATATTTATATCATATGGTTACTATTTTAATTTAAGTAGCTGATCAATGAGTGTCGTATATTTAATTAATACTTCGGCAACGAGAGGCGCTTGTTCGCAGTCGTCTCGACCGCTCCAATAACGACCATGAAAGAGTTAATTCTTCGTGCTGGACCTACGCGATCCCGATCGTCGCGAGACGTAGGACCATTGACCTTTCCCTTTGAGTGAAGAGGCACGAGACGCACACAGCACAGCACTCGTTCGTCGTTTCGTAGTTATTAAGACGCGAACGCTTCTGCCGCGTACACGCTTCGATGCAATTCACGCGAATATGCGTGCGCGCGCGCTCGCGCGCGCAAGCGGACGATTAAATTGTCAGCTACGCGACTCTATAAATAACGCAACGCAGCGCCGCATACCACCGAGTCGAGTCCCGCGATTCTCGTTTTATCAACGCCCGTGAGTCTGCCGATGGAAAGCTCTCGCGAGAGCTGGTTTTATCGAGATTCCCGCAGTGAAACGCTTGACGGATTTTGTGCGAAATTATTATGGGAGAAAGAGAGAGGAAGCGAGAGAAATGTAGCAATACCAAGCATTAGAATATCAAAGTAATAACAGTGAAAGATCATGCGAGCCAAAAGGTTCTATTAGCGAAAACGCTCGTTATTGTTCGCGTTCTTTAACCAAATCATCAGACCCTTACATTGGATCAGCCTCGGTATTTAAAAATTACAATTATGAGTTAATTCTCCCTATAGATATAAAAAGTCAATTTACACAAACACGCGCAATATGGTTACAAGTGTCTCGTTCACGCATCGTTATTTTGTCGAACTCAATTCTTACGGCATAAATCGGCTTTGTAAATTCAGATTAGCCTGTCATCTTTGGTACATTAGCATCCTCCAGGCCGAATCGAATCCGACCGGAATATCAAAGTACGAATAAACACTTGGAGTCTAGAAAGTAATGGCAAAAATGAATGGCGTAATGTGCAATTACGATGCAGATTCTGGAACATGCGTCGATCGCGTTTCGTCGTCTCGGAAGGAGCCGTATATAAAAGCGTATAGAAAAAGGAACCGCTTGTCTAGCTGTAATTTCAGCCACGTTCCTCACTCTCGCTACCGAATGCATATCCTGGGCGCACATGTGCTCCACACTCCTCGTGCCCGAAGTTTATTACCAGTTCGTCTCCTTGCCCTTCCACTCGTCTCCTCTTTCCATCATGATCGGCGCGTCTCGCCCGCCGCGTTCTATCGGCCTTCCAACCGGCGCTACACCAATTCAAAGTTCGTGCACTCGATCTCCCTCTTTGTTTTCTATCCTCTTTCGCTCCTCTCCCGCGGGTTTGTTTACTTCGCAGTCTTGTTGGAATAATACCCCGGCAAGGTAATTATAGATACCCGGAGCTTCACAATGCGACTCCGACACACGTTTACAACCGAAGACACACACCCGCGAATATTTCTCGGTACTCTGATATACGCGTGGCGGCAGTTGACAATGAAAATCTTGACACCCGATACGAACACCCACCTCGAGTTCTTTAGCGAGCGAACAGAATCCGTCTTAATCGAAAATATACATCTCCTATCGTGTGACGCAATTCGCGCAAATATTTTATCCATTTAGTAACACGAACATATTTTCATTTAAACTTTATAATATTTAATTTCGAAATAAATTTAATTCAAAATTGCATTAAAGGATAAAATTCAATTGAGTTCATTTTGATACCTAACACAAAGAAATAATTTCATGGGAATGTTAAGTTTTTTTTTTTTTTTTTTCAACACTTTCTGCTGCAGAAGAAACATTTTTTTTTCTTTCATAAATTAAAATACTGTTAAGTCATGAATTTGTCGCCAAATCGAGAACTCCGCGCAGAAGAATTTAGAGAAGAGAACATTAATTTATGAGAGTATGTAATAATCGTAATTGTACGGATTCTTGAACAATATTCCAAGTTATCTGTGATTTCGCATCAATGATTCCTAGAAAGGCCCATCAGAACGCAGAAGCCAAAGAGCGGAAGCCGTGAAGAGATTATTACTGGGCTCGGTTTCTCGTAGCGCTCTCGATCCCCCGTCGAGTGCTTACGGGCATTGTTTATGCCTGAGGATTGTTTTCGTTTGACGAAAAGCAAAATGAGTTTTTTCTACCACGCGTATATAATATCTTCGTGAACAAGAAGATCGGTTGAATATTTCGCGTGCGTACTGAGACAAGCTATAATGATGGAGATAACAGAAGCTGTAATATAAAAGTAGAATTCTATTTCGATGCAACCTCTCAAATAATGAGATTATATTCTTTCAACTGTTGCACAATAATTCGCATCATATGGAAAGCGTATAGAGGATAAAACAAGCAATGGCAAAATATGATATAAAACTAATACTTTGAACTGTTACTTTATATATTAATGTAGGAAAAACAGAAAAGAAAAATCAAATCTGTCGGTTACTGTCTTTTGCATTACCATCTCGATTCACGAACGAGATCGATAAAAGATGAGCTGCTCGCGCCGCCTAATCCGGAGATGAGGAGATGCGGCAATTATGGACTTCTTCCAAATTCAAGCTTCAAATCACGGTCGGATACGAGCTAAAAAGGACACGGGAGCGAAAGAGCGTGCTGTTAATGCTATTACAGACGAGCTTGTGTATACAGCTTGTTGTCGGTTGGTAAATTACTATAATTGTGAAGTTCCGGCGATTTTTAGATTAGCTCTGGTCCATCAACGGCATATACCTATACCGACCTGCCGACACTGTCCAGCGATTCTCAACTCGACAAATTCGTCAGAAATAAATCGTATTGTATAGAAAAAGTGAACGTTAAATGTCGATTGAATCTCACATTGCGCTTATATTAACTTTTAATTTTATAAAATTAAATAAATACATACAAAGAGTCCATATTTTATGATATAAATTGGATACAAATTGATGTAATT